CCCTGCAGAGTGGGGGAAGCACCACAAGGGTCTCCCTGAGGACCCCAATCTCTCAGGCAAAGGGCACATGTCTCCCTCTCTGAGGGGCTGGTTGGCCCTCTGGAGCAGGGCATGGCCCTGATGTCCCCCCCACCATGGTGGGGACTGTCCACTTTGCGGGACCCCGACACATCTTCTCGCCCTCCACAGGGTCCCCCAGGACCCCCAGGACCTCCTGGGCCCCCTGGGCCACCTGGCAGCATAGCCTACAACAGTGGCAACGTGAGTAACAACACGGTCACCGTGATGGACATGCTGGTGACTGGGTCCCCCAGTGCCCCCTGCCTGGCTGGAGGGCACACAGGATACTCTGGTGACATCCTGGCTGGGGCTAACACACTGGACTGTCACCAGCATTGAGGGGGGTCCCCAAGGATGCTGCTGTCTCTGCAGCCACTTCCTTTGCATCTCCACAGACCTTCAGCGACTCCAGCCATCCCGCACTGCCAGCGTTTCCTGGTAAGGGGGTGTCTTCTCCGAGCCCTCTCTGGGCAGTTTGGGGAACCTTGGCAAGGCAGGGTTGGGGGGAAACCCGCTCCTTTCGAGCTGGGATGCTGCAGCTCTGACATGGCATCTCTGCTGCTGCCCACAGGTTTCCACCAGTTCCCAGGACAAAAGGGAGAGAAAGGTGATGCCGGACCCCCAGGACCCCCAGGTAGGTGATCGATCCCCACATGTAGAGGTGGGCAAGGGGTGCCTCATGCCCATCCCTACTCTCCTCTCCTTTCCCTCTTTCCACAGGGCACTTCCCCTATGACCCAGCTCACTTTGGCACCAACCTGCGGGTAAGGCCTTTGCGTGCTGGTGGCTGGAACCCGGCACGATTTGGGGTACCGGGGTGCGCCCTGGCCACTCACCCTAAGGTTGTGCCATCCCACAGGGCGACAAGGGGGACACAGGTCCCAAGGGTGAGAAGGGTGAGCCGGGCAGCACCCCACTCTACAGTCCCAGCGTCTCTGGGCTGCCAGGGCCCCCAGGGCCCCAGGGATACCCCGGGCTGCCGGTGAGTACCTCATGGGGCAGGGAGCAAAGGGGCATGGCGGGGGCAGCATCCCTGGGGGCTTTGCTCCAAGAGATGTTCTCTCACTCTGCCTAGGGTCCCAAGGGGGACAGTATCGTCGGGCCACCAGGGCCTCCTGGACCTCAGGGTCCCCCTGGCATTGGATACGAGGGGCGGCAGGGCCCCCCTGGCCCTCCTGGCCCCCCTGGTCCACCCTCCTTCCCAGGTCCCCACAGGCAAGGTGAGTACCTGTCCGGTTGCATCCCTCCCACAACCCTCTATTGCCACTCCCACAACCCTCTATTCACCCCCCACATCCCTCCTGCACCCTGGCATCTGTCTCTGCATCCCCACATCCCTCCCTGCATCCCTCCCTGTACCCCAGCATCCCTCTCTGCACCCCGCCGCATCCTTCCTTGCATCTCATGCGCCCTTTCTTGCACCTCTGCATCCCTCCCTATGCTGCGTCCCTCTACATCTCACCCTTCTCCCTCCACAGCTATCAGCATCCCTGGACCCCCAGGACCACCAGGCCCCCCCGGACCTCCAGGCAGTAGCGGGATATCCCTGGGGGTGAGTTAGGGCTCTGGGCAGGATGTTGCCTGCAGGCCGGAGGGCTGGTCCCTGAGCCCTCCACCCGCCGTGCTGTGCCCGCAGCTCCGCGCCGTGCCGACGTACCAGGTGATGCTGAGCACTGCCCACGAGCTGCCCGAGGGCAGCCTCGTCTTCCTGACTGACCGGCAGGAGCTCTATGTCCGCCTGCGCGGGGGCTTCCGACGGGTGCTGGTGAGTAGGGGGTGGCCAGAGGGGAGCCCTGTTCCGGGTTGCAGCACTCAGCTCTCGGGGAGTGCAGACAGCACCGCCCTGGGGGCTTAGTGGTGACTCTTGGTGATGGCCGGGGGTCCCCCCACCCGTGCGCGAGGAAGAGAAGAGGGGGACACCTGGGATCTGACGTGCCTGCCCTTGCAGCTGGAGGAGCACAACCTGATCCCCAGTTCAGCTCTGGTGAGCCTTGTGTTCTCCATGCCCACCCTTATCCCCCATTTCCATCCCTATCCTTCATCCTCATACATGTTCACCCCATCCCCATTCTGCATCCTCATACGTCCTCATCCCACTCTCAGCCATCTCCATCTGAAATCATCTTCATCCTCTTCATCTGTCCCCAGCCATTTCAATCCCCATCCCCTACCATCTCCACTTTCATCCACATACATCCCCAGCAAATCCCCAATAATCTCCATCCACCCCAACCACCTGTATCTCCATCCCTATCACTGTTCATCCCCATCCACCTCCAACTCTATCCATCTCCAGTCACCTTCATCTCTATCCCCGACCCCCTCCATCCCCATCCCCGCCTGGGGCACCACCACCGCCCTCCTCTCAGCCTGTCTCCCGCTCCTCAGGACAACGAGGTGTACGACAAGCCACCCACCCTCCACTACGCCGGCACCCAGCCCCGCGGGCCCCTGCACCCCCTCCGCAACCACGTCCCCCCACCCACCGCCCGGCCCTGGCGTGGGGACGAGGTGGTGGCCAACCAGCACCGCCTGCCCGAGCAACCCCTGCTCCACCACCAGCATGAGCTTCTCAACAGCTACTACATCCACCGCCGGCCAGATCCAGCTCCCGTGGCCGCCCACGTGCACCAGGACTTCCAGCCCGCTGTGAGTGCCACGTGCCGGCCGAGGGCAGGCGATGATGGTGGCCAAAGCCACGCGTCCCTCAAGCCCTGCTGTCCCCTCTTGGCAGCTTCACCTGGTGGCCCTGAACACCCCGCTCAGCGGAGGCATGCGCGGCATCCGGGGCGCCGACTTCCAGTGCTTCCAGCAAGCCCGGCAGGTCGGGCTGGCCGGCACGTTCCGCGCCTTCCTCTCCTCGCGCTTGCAGGATCTCTACAGCATCGTGCGCAGGGCTGACCGCGCCGCTGTCCCCATCGTCAATCTCCGGGTAGGTTGGATGCAGAGCATCCCAAAGCCCCTTCATTCATCCACGAAGCATCCCCTTCCCGGAGGCTCCTGGGGGCTTGTATCTCCTGAGATGCTCTCGGGGTGAAGGCAGGGCTAACCCTCCCCCATTTTCTGACTCTTCCCACCAGGACGAAGTGCTCTTCAACAACTGGGAGGCCCTTTTCACGGGCAGCGGGGCTCCGCTGAGAGCCGGCGCCCGCATCCTCTCCTTCGACGGCCGGGATGTCCTGCGGGATGCGGGATGGTGAGTTCGGGGTTGAGCAATGGGGAAACGGGGTTTGGAGCGTGGGGGGCGCAGCAGCAGCAGCAGTTCCCCACCTTTCATCCCTCCAGGCCACAGAAGAGCGTGTGGCACGGCTCGGATGCCAAGGGCCGGCGCTTGCCCGAGAGCTACTGCGAGACGTGGCGGACGGAGGAGCGCGCCGTCACCGGCCAGGCTTCCTCACTGACCTCCGGAAAACTGCTGGAGCAGGTGGCCAGCAGCTGCCAGCAGGCCTTCATCGTCCTCTGCATCGAGAACAGCTTCATGACTGCCGCCAAAAAGTGACATCCGCCCTCCCATCCCCTGGGTACCCCCATCTCCCCAGGAGGGGCGGGGACCCTGCACCCCGGCACCCCTGGGGCCCTCAGCTCCCTCCACGTGCCTGCTCTCACCCCGCAGGGTTTTCTTCTCCCACAGACCTGAAGCCAAAGAGTATTGCCGTGGCCCCTGCCCTGGATCGGCAGGGGCTTGGGTCCCACCCGGGGCAGGGCAGCCATGGGCCGGCTGCCTTCTTCCTCCTCCTCCTCCCCTCACTTCTCTTCTAACTCCTAATATTTAACCACTTCAGCTTGTTCCCCCACCTGCTCAGATCCTCTTTTCGGGGTGGCTGGCTCGAGGATGCTTGGCAGGGAGATTTCAGTGCTGCCATGTCAGGTGCTCTCCCTGGGCGGGGGCTCCCTGACCAGCACCCCAGCTCCATACTGTCCTCACTAGGAGCTTGGCTTCGGACCCAAATCTCTGCTGCTGGGGCCATGAGGTCTTCTCTAGCCAAAACCCCAGCATCCCACCCAAGGGACTGTCCCATGGCAGTGCTGGGACTCCCCCAGATGGTCTCTGTCCTTCCCAGGTAAGGACCATCGTGTTGTCATCCTCACCTCCACCTCCCAGCCAGCAGAGCTCTGGTGGTGGTCTGGTCTCCCCCATCCCCTCCACACACCCTTGGGACTCCTGGCCATGCCCGTGCAGCCCAGGAACAGCCACAGGCAGTCCAGCACAAGTACTGGGCTGAAGGGGTGGCCCCGATGTGTGGCCAGCGTGCCCTTGGCGTGTGTTTACGTGCGTGTGTGTGTTGAGCACGTGTGATACCAAGGGCAGGCACTGCCAACCCCCCCTCCCCATGCCACCTTTGCTGGGCTTCTACGGTAAAGGCGCAGCAAAAAACTGGTTGGAATTGGTGTGGGCAAATCCAAGGTGCTAAAAAAAAAAAAAATACCAAAAAAAAAGAAAAAAAAAAGAGAGAGAGAGAGAGAGAAAAAAAGAGAAATCTGTTACTAGCTTTTTTTTTTTGTTATTGTATGGAAATTATTACCATAAAAGCTGTGCGAGTCACACGGTCTCTATTTCTTACAGTCTACTGTATTTTGTGTAATTAATGCAATTTAAAGCCTGTGGATCTTTATATTATTTTTTTGTTGTTGGTTGTGTCCTATAAACCATTTTCTAAAGGCACTGAATAAAGAAACATCCTCTTGTAGCCTGGCTCCGTGCCATGATGGGGGATGCAGCGGCAGGGGGTCCCCATCCGTGTCCCTGTGTGGTATCCTCCCATGGTGCTTTGTGTTTGGGGATGGGGAAGGGGGCACAGCCCTGTCTCCTTGCAGCAGAAAACGTCCTGAGAGTTATATCCTCAGCGGGCCAGCACGGAGCACCAGCAGTGGGAGAGGAGAACAAGCACACGGTGGTGATGATGATGATGATGATGATGATGATGCTCACTTCGGGAGCCAGCGCTCAGGCTCGCACGGTGCCTGCCTCGGGGCTTTTCTCCTGTGCTGGAATCTCCACGGGGAGCTGGCACAGCTCCTTGGCCAAGGCTGGCTCCGCCGGCTGCCTGCGGCGGCTGTGCCGGATGCCCACACCCACAGCCGCCAGCAGGTAGATCACAGCCAGGAGTGCGAAGTAACCAAAATACACGTAGAACTGGAAGAGAGGGAGGTGGGGGAAAGAGCAACAATTGAAGCCTTGCCCTCATCCCACGCCTCTCAGGGACCACCTCCATCCTAGATACTCCCCCCATCCCTACCTGGGGATGCACGGATAAGCCCAAGCCCCTCTTGTCGGCCACGATGACGGTGATAATGGTCTTCAGAACGGTGCCAAAGAAGGTGTTGACCCCGAAGACCAGAGCGCAGAGCTCTTTGGAGAGGGAGGTAGCAATCTGGAAACTGGGAAAAATGGGAGCACTGGTGAACCCCTGGTATCAACCCGGCTGCCGGGGTGGGAGCAGATCCCCAGGGGCTCCACGCACATGGCAATTGGCACCAGGAACTGGTAGGAGCCACGGAAGAGGACGTAGGCAACATAGCACAACCAAATGTCGGTGGTGGAGTTCATGAGCAGGAGCAGCCCTGCCTGGAATGCCGTCACCACTCCGATCACCAGCTCTGACCACAGCGTCCAGCGGATCTTCACAAAGCCAGCAGCGAAGGAGGCGATGGCTCCTGGGGAGGGATGAGGGATGCTGTGAGCACCTCAGGGGCCACCTGGCCTAGGCTGGGACCCAGCCCAGTGATGATCAGGTCATCCCCAAAGCCAGACCACCCCCTACCACCCCCAAACATTCCGTAAGGACCACCATTCCTAAGGGACACTGTCCCCAGTCGTTCCCAGGAGATGTAGAGGGATAAAGGGCATCCCCCACATTCCATGTTTCCCCAGCTATTCCCAGAGGGTGCAGCAGGATGAGGGTGTCCCCCCCCCCACATCCCCAGTGTCCCCATCCCACACGAGCTCACCCAGCAGCGTGGAGGCCGCATCCACCCCTCCGTTGTACACCCGGCGGTTGTCCGTGGTGGGAAAGATCTCATTCCAGAGGATGTGCGCGTAGTACAGCATCAGGTAGTACCCAGCTGAGTTGAAGATCCACCACAGGGACCAGAGGCGGAGCTGGGGCTGCCTGGCCAGCGCCCCCACCTCCCGCAGCATCCGGCACAGCACCGCATCCCGCCAGCCCCGCGCCCTCCCACCGCCATCCCCCTCGGCCATCCTGACCAGCTCCGTGGACGCAGCCCCGTCACCGGCTGTCCCCGGCCGGTTGAAGAAGAGGCTGCGCCGGGGCCGCTCAAGGAAGAGGGTGAGGACGAGGCCGAAGCTGACAAAGCCCAAGGAGACGTAGTTGAGCGTGAGGAAGGAGACGCCGCCCAAGGTGACACAGAGCTGGCCCAGCACCGAGCTGGTGAAGACACCCATGAGGACGGCGGAGCGGGAGTAACTGGCCATCCGCTGGTAGCGGGACGGGGCAACGAGGGAGAAGATGTAGGAGGAGTAAGCGATGCGGGCGGCCATGGTGATGCCGTAGAAGAACTCCATCAGCTGCATGGCCGGGACGGAGGTGCCCAGCACCAGCAGCAGCCAGATGGAGATGTGGCTCAGGCTCTGCAGCACCAGCACTGGCTTGTAGCGCAGGTAGTCCGTCAGCAGGAAGATGGGCACCAGCACGGCCATGTACGAGTAGGACAGCACCGGCGTGATCACGTTGGTCACCTGCCATGCAGGCAAGGAGGGGCTCAGCACTGGTTACATCCCTGGGGTTGCCCCCCAGCCTGGAGGGATGTGGTCTGTGTGGGCACCAGCTGCTGACCTCCATCGCAGCACCTCCCCGGGGACGAATGTGGCCAGCAGCGTGCTCCAGGCTGGGGGTCTGGCTGAGCCTCAGCCCCCTCCTGCGCGGGGACACAGCGTTCCCACGGACACAGCAGCCGGCTGGGACCGGGGCCAGCATCCCTTGGTTGAGGGACGATGACATGTGGCCCCTCCTTGTCTAACCCCATCATTGCCAGCAGCCCAGCGGTGCACAGTGTCAGCACGGAAAGTCTCCCTAGTGGGCAACCCCCTGCCATCTAACAGGCTGCCCAGGTGGGCAGGGATCAAGCTTCACCCCCCAAAATCAGTTACTAGCCTGGGCATGAGGTCTTATGCCACGGCAAGTTGAGCCTGGGACTTAGGAGACAGGGTGATCTCACAGCCAAGGGAGACAGGGACCCACCTCTCACCACCTTTACCCCCCCAGAAAGCACCACCACGAGTCACCACACACCACCACCATGCCCAGCACGTGACTCCCCGGTGCACCCAGAACCACAGAGGGATGCTCGGGGCAGCCCCAGGGTGGTGACCATGGCTGGAAAGGAGGACACCAGGGTGGGGGACAGGGTGCCCACGGCTCACCTCTGCCTTGGTGAAGTTCCGGTCGGGCCCCAGGAGATAGGGGGTGATGAAGCTCTCCCCGGGCCGGATCTGCGTCATGAAGCCGTAGAAGCAGAGGTAGAAGACTTGTAGCTTCCAGCGCTGGTCCGGCACCGTCTCTGACACCGACTTTTTAGCACCATCATCCTTCTTGGGCATGGCCCTGCAGCAGGACGGCAGCGTTATCCTGGGAGCCATCAGCTACGCGGGCTTCGTCGGACCAGGCGGCCCCTCTCTGTCCGCAGGCTCTCTCGAATGCATGGAAAACCACGGCACTGCAGTTTCTGGGGAAAAAGCAGCGTTTGGCAAGGGATCAAAATTCCTCCAGAATCGCAAAGGCAAATAAATACCACTACCTTCTCCACAGGAGGTGTTCTGGGAAGAAGAAAAGCGGCCGTGCGTCTCGCTGTGCAAAAAGCCAAGGGCAAGGGGGGGGGGGGGGTCATTTCAGGCGGCATTTTGTAAATCACGTGCATCCGGAGCCTTGGATGCACGGAGCACCTGGATCCACAGTGGGGCATCCTTAGATCCCAGCACCTCCTCTTCCTCCCTTTTAAGAGCTGGGCGGGGGGGCGGGGAGTTAGCGCTTCCTTAAGCAATGCTTCCCTCTGAGCTCTGACCCAGGGGGATGCAGATGCTCCATGGCGGGGATGCTCCGGAGGGGAAGGGCAGGAGCCACTGGGACTGTGCCGGTTGTGGAAGCGAGTTAATGTGCACACTGGGCATGGGGCCGCTGCGTTATACAGTAGCTGGGCAGTTGGCAGGACTTTGGCTGGGCCACAGGCAAGTGGCTGCCCCTTGGCTCTTCCCGGCGGGACACGATGCCCAGCCTGGGGAGAATGCAAAATGCCACGAGATTCATGGCCCAGAGAAGGATTAAAAGCTCAAATCCTGAGGTTTGGCTGCAGGAAACCTGGCAGTGCCAGGAGACTTGATTAGCAGTCACGGGATGAGGGAAGTGACTGGAGAAGGCCTGGACTGGGTGTTCCCCACTCTGACAACAGGTCACCGAGGGTACTTTTCACGCCATAAAATTCCACGTGTGCCAATCCAAGGTCTAGAAACCTGATTACCCTGCTAATTGCAGAACAACTAATCACAGTCACTAGAAAACAAGTCCATGGTCCCAGCCTGTGTTCCCCTTGAGGTGAGACTGGGAGGCTCACCTCTGGAGCCTCCCCATGCTGCCACATAACACACATGACTAACAGGAACACTAGCCAGGGAAAGCTGTGACTGAAACCAAAAAAAAGCAGCAGTGGGAAGCAAAGTGCCCATTTGCCCCACTGAGGACTCACTGCTCCAGGGGCATTCCCATGGGATTTCAGTGCTGGAGCCTGAGCATCGCCAGAACACGTGTCCCAGAGCTCACGGCTGGGCAAACAGCCCCCACCTCTTAAACAGATCCCTGGGGAGCAGGGCAGGGATTTGGTGCTCACTCACTGCCAGCCAGTGAGCCAGCACTGGCTCAGGCACTGGTTGGAGCACTGGCTCCCCTGCTGTGGCAGGAAGGGCAAGGAGCAAGGATCAGGGGCTCAGCCCCCCTCAAATGCTCACCCCAGCTCCATACCATGCGGGGCCACTGCCAGTCCGTGCCTGGACTCTGCCCCATCGCCTGCCTGTCCCCAAGCTGGGCTGTGGACATCACCTGTAGCAGCCACTCCCTGTGGGTTGGCCCCTGACACGTGTGCCAGGCCCCCGATGGCATGTTTGCCACCCTCTGCACCCCATTTTCTGTCATGTCCATCCAGGATGGATACACACATTCATCCCTGTCCCAAAGGAAACCAACAGCACTAAACCCAGGATGCAGCTCCGTGAAGCTGCTCCAGTGCCAGGAGCACTGGCTCTTAACTCCCAGCAGGTGTGTCCCCACACATGGAGGGACTCTAGTCCAGAATCCGTCTGGCTGGTCTCAATTCCACCCTCTCCGGAATATCCATGGAGCTGCCTACTCAAGGTGAGCGGGCTTGAGTCCCAGGGAACGCTCCATCCTTCATCCCTGGTGCAAGCCAGGAAGAGTGGAGAAGAGGAAGTGGAAAAGGGAGAGGGAGTAGCGGGGAGAGGGGTAAGGAAGGGGAGGGAGATGAGCAGACCACGGGCCGCTATCACTGTGTGAACCTGCTTATCGCCGGGTTATCCTAGTGTGACCTTGACATGGATCACTGTCACGCTATGCCGCTGTCAACCTGGGCCACGGGCGGCGTGGGTCGCCGAGCTCAGGCTCAAGCTTCCCGCGGAGCCACGGCCACCACAGTCCGGAGGGGACAGCCCTGGGGGTAGTGGGGGGGGAAGTCGAGGTATGCTCCCCCTCCAGCCGCGCGTCGGTGACACACAAGTGAAGCTGCCAAAGCACGATCGTGTTTTGCGGGGAGCTGCCAAGCAGAATTGGGGTGCGCGAGCCCTGAAGCGCCTTCCCTAAAACAAGGCGTGGGAAGCTCCCCAAAAAACACACCCTCGCCCGCTGTGCGGGCACCTATTTACCTCCCCCTCTCCCCCCCCCCATCCCAAGCAGCCGAGGGATGGGCGCTGCGGGGTGGTTTGGGGTGCACCCGGTAGAGCAGGGTGTCGGGGCGGGGGGTGCGCGGCACCAGCTCCCCCCAAAAACGGGGCACTACCCTGGGGGCAACCCCACACCCCCAGCATCCCGGCGGCGTTCGCATTGCCGAAGCCGCGGGCACCCCGGGGGGGCACGGCCCATTCCCGGCCCCCCTGCGCCCCCCGTACCTGGTGGGCGGCGGGCATGGGGGCTGCGGGCCGGAGCGCCGGGGCTCCCCCGCGCTGCCCTCGCCGCGCTCACGGCGAGCCCTGCAGACGAGGAGGAGGAGGAGGAGGAGGAGGAGGAGGAGCGTGGGGAAGGGCCCTCGGGAAATGTAGTCATGCCCCACATGCGGGGCAGCGCGGGGACCACAAGCTCCACAAGGCAGCGGGAGGGAGGAAGAGGAGGAGCTGGCAGAGAGGGAGGGGTCTCGCCCATCACCGCGTGGGAGCCGCGCCGGCGGCTGCGTGTC